CATACTTTTGAGAGTTCTGAATAGCCCGTCGCTTAAATAGTTGGAATCAACGTTCACCCAGATCCGATCAATTAGCCCCTCATGTATAGATATTCCAAATTTTTATTTTTTTCCTCATTGAAGTAGTTTTGAAGAAAATTGCGAGCTAATAAAAAACATTTGCTAGTTAGTACTTTTTTTAAAATAAATTTTTGACAAATCACCCCTGAAAAAAAAGGCGTTATCCCCCCTATTTCATTATTTCCAAAAAATTTAAGATTCAAGAGTTCAAATGTGAGATAGTCGGACAGTTTTTCCCCGGACAAAATCTCCCCGTCCTACTAAATTCTTTGTCCTGATGATTTGTTGTGAATAATTGGTTTTGCAAGAGATTTATATTCATAACTTTGCTAATACGATTATGCGATTTGACGGTGTGGCATCGGAGAAATGTATTAATAATTCCCAAGTATTTATTGTTATATGTTCCCTATCATTTCTATTACTTTTGTTCCTTTGTAATTTCACTGAGGATAAAGAGTCGATAATTTCATGTGTTCTATTGTGCGATTCAGTAATAAAAATCCCTTTAATTGAGCATTATCATTATATTTATTTTGGCCGGATCCGGTTTCCTAATCGCAAATTCCTTTTTCAGGGAGATTTTGTCCGGGGAAATTCTTTTTCGGAGAGATTTTGTCCGGGAAGATTTTGTCCGAGAGATTTCGTCCGGGGAAAAACTGTCCTAGAATCATAATTTATACTTCAGCTGTCCAGAAGTGATTATTCTCGAGTCCCCCAACAATCCACCCAACTTCCGCTGCCATTCTATGACATGGGGTTATGTTCAGAGAGAAAAAAGAACGCGGGCTACACGAATTTAAAACATTAAACTTGTATAAATTGATTAGTTATCAATATCCATTTAATAAAAATGAAAATTCCATAGAATTCGGGCGCAACGAGCGAGGAATCTCATTTCAAACCGATGATCCCTATTTTCCTCCTCTCTATAAGCGCGCATCGTTAGGGTATACGAATTTTCGGAACTCCCCTCTCCTACTGTCCCTAAGGTATCTTATATAAAGCCTTGACTGTAGCTACCCTCTCTTCGTGATAATTTTTATACGGAAAATTAGAGTTACCATATCCATTCCAAATCATCACAACACGTAATCTTGAAGAGAATCATGACTAAACACCCAAATGCATATTGAGCATTAAATGGATGAAGACAAATGGAAAGTCTCAACATGAAATCGTAGGGATGGAAAATAAAAAACTATTTCATATCCTCACTGCAATGGTATTTACATGACGTAATTCTACAAGTCGTTTTAACATGAGTTATCAATAAAAATGGCACAAAGCAATAAATAACAATTGCATTAAACTACAGTGTCCGTATCTCCGCAATTCTCATACATAACTGCTGGTCGATCATACCTAAAATATGATACATAACTCGTCGATCGTAATTTCTCTAAATACCTGAAAAAAACAGCGTCAATCGTAGCACCCGACTTAGCACTGGCCATCGCTGGATCGCGATTCAATTTCAAATTGAAGTCAGTATCTAAGAATTCAATCAATTTTTGTGCCTCTGGAGAGTCAAAATTGATGTTGAAATCTCCGCTCAAGATGACCGGAATTTTATCTAAATCGTTTCCGAGTAAAGCTGCTCCCTGGGTTGTGTATTCCAGCAGAACCTCGTTAATGAAGGTGATGATGTGAGAGACTTCTTGATTCACAGATACATACATAATTACTGTAAGGACAGTCTGATTATCCTCCAAAGTACAACGAGCAGCACAAATTTCTCCAACTTTTGTAGAATTCACAATTAAGCAAGTGCTTCGACGTAAATGCACATCCATATGAGCAGTGACGACATTCGTTCTATCATCATCACTACGATAGACAGAGGATGGACCATTGACCCCTCCAAAACGCTTGAACCGCGCCATGCAGTTGAAGTCAGGCATCACCAATGTCTCCTCATTCTCCGCACTCATCTCCGAAAGGAGTAGAATTTCCGATTTCAGTCCAACCTCAGCGCTGGAGTCTTCTGGGGTCTGACTCTGACAGCTGAAGGACAGGACTGCGAGTCCGCTTCGGCTGGTAATGAAATCGATGATGCTTTTGTCCAACACCATTGGTTTGTCTTTCGGCGAACTTGTCTCCGATGATGGCTTTCTCCGTCCATGGTAGAATGTCGGGTCATTATTTGGTGAAACGATATAAAGTTTGGAAATTGTGGAGACTTGCAACAACGCCATATGCAGAATCTGCTGCGAGTGAGTTCGACTGTATTCATAGACCATCTCATTCAGATGAGACCCTTGAGACTCGTTGATGGTGATGGCACAAGCAGGAATCAGCGGGAATTGATCCCGTGTAGCAACAACTGTCTCGTCATCATTCAGGGGGATTCTTGATGTTTGTCGTTTCACGGGTATCGCTAACTCGCTGATATTATTGGCTTGCATGTACAAATTGACATTTCGCGTCATTTTCACATCGACTTTGGACATATTGTAGAACTCCAACCAAACGCGTTTCGCTTGACCGTCATCATCATATTCTATGAAAACTAGTTTTCCAAGGGAGCCAGGGCACAGTCCAGCCAATTCATCAACTGAGCTTGTCAACATGTACGACTTGTTCATCACGAATATGATTTCGTACGGTAAACCAGCGGTTTGGTCAATTGGCCTGTCACGAAGTGAATGAATCGTTCGTTCCTCTTCCGTTCCGTCACTGTAAGTATAAGTGTCCTTCGCGATCGAAACGACCTTATATTTGGACGGCCGAAGGATGACTTTATTATACTCATCGACAGCATCATTCGTCAACATGAGACGAACACCGTGAGGCAAAAGTCGATTGGCTTCTTTCCGCGAAAAAAATCGTGATTCAAGTAGTTGCAGCTCGGATTCTTCTAAATGTATGTTACGCCCAATTTTCGTGAGGACTAACCTGAACATTCGATTAGATTGGCGCATAAGTTTGCTTGTATCTAGGAACTTGAGGTCATTCCATTGAAGTTTAATCACCCCTGCCTCAGCCTGCGACAGTTGGTAAAATTCGCCAGTCAAAATGATGTCAACTCCACCGAAATGAAGGCTGGAATTGCCCGTCAACTGCCTCAGGCTAGCGTCGATCCGCGACAGGATGTTCCCATCAATCTTATCGATTTCGTCTATTATCAATACCTGAGCATACTCGAATAGCTGGCCATAATGCCGCGAGGATTTAACGGCCAAGGTGAGCATCTTAGAACGCGACGTTGTCAAAGCAGTGTACGTGATTGACCGATTCACTAGCACTCCGGCTTTGTTAGCTGACGTAAGATTGATGCAGACATTGCAGGAGCTACCAGCTTGTGCACGACTATTGTAAATTTCCATCAAAAGTCGGGTGATGAAGGTTTTCCGGCATTTCGCGGGACCGCTAAGGAACATCTGGAACGGTGAGTCATTTCCAGTCAGAAGTGTGAACAAACCGTGCATTGGATGTACGTCTGTTTCCTCAGGTACTATGAACACTGGTTCGTGGGATGATGCGTCGTCCAACAAATTCTCATGACTCTCAAGCGCGTCACTAGGCTCATTCTCATCCATAAATTCGAGCTGATCATTTGTCTCTGGATTTATGTGATTGCCCAAGTCTTGGAATGGATCAGTTTCTGTCTGCTTAGCGACCAGATAATTCACCTCATTCTCGTCTTCCAGAGCATCCTCCTCCCGGCATAATGGACAACATGCGTTCATGGTCGTCTGAACATTCACGTCTACCTCGAACTCCTTTTGATGTGTGAGAATCAACTCTTCGTTCGCTTCATACAGCTGCAGGAATTTCATACCTGCGATAATTTCAGACTCCTCGTTGCGAAAAGGTATGTGAAGTGTTACCATCTCGCGTTTATAGTCGTTGGGATGTGTCTCCATGCTGTAATTCTGATAACGGATTATTCGCGGAGTTTTTCGCATCACGTACGCTGTATTATTGAAGTTGCGGGTATAGTAGGCGACAAATTGTGCAAGAGTTACGTTTTCGAGCTCTTTCGGCCGCATCTGGTACATAGCGAACCAGCTCTCTTTCCAGGAATCGACTGTATCCTCCGCCAACGCTAACTCCCCGAACTCGTCGTAATTCTTTCTTATCGCTTGTCGTGCAGAGGGTAATACGGTTTGAATAGGGACTACCACCGAAGAGCTCTTCGACATAGGCTCCCTGAGTAGGTACCAGGCAGCCTCTTGACTCGTTATTTCAACTGCATTCAGCACATCAACACTCAATCTCCTGATGATCTCGCTCAACTTGAACTCTGGATGTTCATCTATTATTGCAACGATCTTGCGTTGCAACTCGCCGATGCCCCTGTCAGTCTTATGAATGAAATCACCAATGAAGTCAGCACATGAATCTTCGTCCAGAATGAACTGTATGTTGATGTGCCCCTGGAGAACGTTAAGAATGAAGGGGTTGAAGGCTTCGTGCCACTTCTCCGAGGGTTCGCGTTGCAGGAAAACTCTTGGACGAGTGATCCCAGCGCGAAGTATATTCATGTACTGTTCATCTGAAACTATTCCATTATCGTCATAAAACGCGTCTATGTCGGGGTAATCATGATTTTCCAGATTCTCGCGGATCTCCTGATAATGCCGGGCATTCTTTGCGAATTCGGGATCTGCGCTGGCCATGGGTTCTAAAATTGTAGTAGATCGGCATGGCATGAATGGTGCTTCAAATCGACAGATCTGCTTTTTTCCAGCTACTTTCTTATAGCATGCAGAAGTGTGCTTGTGAGCTTGAAGCTCAATGTGACCCGAAGCTTCCTTAGTCGAAATTGAAATAAGTTGATCGATCAAGGTGATGGCATCCTCCTTATCCGCGCCAAGAGGATCCTTCGGGGCATTCTCCACCCACATAAGAATATGCACGCAAGGACTCCGGTGATACTGGAACTCAATCCTTTGGAAGTGATGAACCACGCGATATTGCCGAAATGGGTTGCCATCTTCTGACCGAAAGAGAGAGATCAATACATTCACCATCTTGTTGAAATAGATAAGACACGTCACCACATCGTCGTTGACCAAGGCACACTTCTCAACGTAACTCAACTTAGAAGCCGACTCTTCCGATATCTCCTGCCCTTTATTCTTCAATTTGTACAAGAGTTGCAGCAGGGGGATCCACCCGATCTCGTTGGCACTAACAGTCAATGAAATCGTGGGTCTCCCAAGGGTCCTCATCATAGCGAACAGATCTCGCTTCCGTTCCTTCCAGTACCAAATGGAATTTGGTACGCACCTCAGGAAAGCGAGGTTGCTTCCCAGAGCATCGCTGAAGGACTCTTCAGACAGGATTTCCTTTCTGATCATGTTCGACTCCTCCTCCAGGTTCACGCAGGTGGAGTTGAGGGTTTCATGGACATTCAATCTCATGATCTTCATCGCCATGTAGAGGAGGTGATCGGGGGTCACACCTCGACGGTCGGAACGCGTCAGCTCGCTTGATACTATCATAGAGGGCGTGACTTTCAGACCCTGTTTGAAAACTCTGGGTTGACCGAGGTAGATGCAGGGAAAGGAGAGCTCCTCGGCGTGTCCGTCGAACAGCCGCTTATGAGACTCTCCTTCGCTGTCATCTCTCTTCAGGTATCTTTCTACGTTCCATATCAACGTATGCTGCTGCGCTATGAGGCCATCTCTATTCGGGAGATGCTCAATCACCTCAACCTCTCTATCTTCACGCTGAGATTTCCTCTCGTTGCAGAAGGAAAGGTCGATGGTGATGTCATTGGTCTTGTAAAGAGGAGTCGTCTCCAAGTATTGCAGCCATCCCATAATGTCTTGCTTGTCAACAGACTCAATGAAATCACTCGACCTCCGAATTTCTTTTCGCTCTACATCAACATAGGTGCAGTAATCATCATCGAATCTCCTCGGCAAGTGGTGAACCATATTATTTTCGGAGACGGGAATATTGATAATCTGGATTAAATTCTCAAAGTGACTGGCATATCGCAGTCTCTGGATTTTTCTCAAGGGTATACGAGGGGAAATGAGTCTCTCTGATATCGGATCCAACCGAGGTAGATACTCCGGCCGATTTGGATATTGGAATCCATTGACTCTAGCGAACGCGGGGATGTGATTACGACTCAGGGCGTTGGTGCAGTACTTGCAGACCACCATGCGATCTGGATCGGCTGTCGGAAACTCAATGCCTATCAATCTTTTGAAGTGAGAGGGGAGTTTCGTCAAGTCGTTCTTGAACCACAGACGATCGCAAATATGGCACACGAGACCGAATGAGTTTTGCAGGAATTTTCGATTGAACTCGCGGTGGGCGACTCGGTTGGCATTGAAATATGTGTATGGTAAGATGTTACTTGAAACTGTTGCGGCGATTGTTGAGTTGATTATCTGCTGCACAGTGTCGGTTTTCGGTTTATCGCGTGTCGGTAAGTCTGGTGGTGCTGCTGGTCGGCCATATATCGACGCTGTTCGCTTCTCTCTCAGAACTCTCTTATCCTTTGGGGAAGTCGCTGTGGCTCCCTCCGGCGGTGTCTCTGGTTTCTCGGGACGCCTCGTCTCATGTCGTGTTGTTCGGCGGGGTGTCGTTGTTTTAGGCATAATTACTGGAATTAATCGAAAGAATTATGATGAATGTGGGAGGGGAATACTAACATTTGTGGGAATTGGGTTTGGAGAGGGGGGGGGTAGGGTGATGTGGGGTGAGAATTTTTAGATACTAACCTTACTTTTAGATCAGCAGGGAAGAAGCAGGGTGATTAATATTTATAAACACACTATTTCACTCTGGGAATTACGGGAGACTGGCGGCATGGTGGCGACCGGTGACACGATAGTCTGCGATTTTTTTTTCTTCCGAAAACTGCAAGAATGGGTCAGCATGGCAGACAATAACAAAACAGTGTGGACGGTTTGTGCGGGGAAAATAAAGTTGTGACATAATGGGGTGAAGGGGTCGGGCTCCTGGATCGTCGCAGCGAATGGTGTAGTACATTACTAACTTATCGACGACTGTTATGTTTGACATTATCTTGGAAATGGGGAAGGCAAATGAATCGGTACGATAGGTGACGAAGACTTGCAACTGGCTCTTGGGTTGACTATGACCCACTCACGGACAAAAGATTTCCCATGAATTAGTGTATTTGTTGATTATGCCTGCAAATCCATTTTTTTATCATCACTACAGATCTGTGCGCGCGCTTTCGCGCGCGCTTATCTTTTTGTTGTGAAAATGAAGAAATCGAATTTATTAAACTTCATATACTCATAGATGTTTTATAAACATTGATAATGACTTAAAGAGAATTAAGAGAAGGAAGAGTGAAACATCAATGAATAATTTTTAACCTTCGATTAATTCCTTTTTTTACGTTTTAAAATAATCTGATTAACATCTGTAATGGTTGAAAAATGAGGGAGCGTTATAAATTGATTTCCTAGAAAACTGAAAAAAGTTCTTGAATTCTTCGGAAAATTTCACAATTTTCTAGATAACCGTAAATCTTCAAAGATTTCTCTCGAATTATTTGTGAAACCGAAGAATTTTCATGAATTTGTAGAGTTTAGAATTTATGTAGGAAAATCTGAGAAGCAAGAATTGATAATTTTTGCGTATGATAAATATGAAAAAATTGAAATTTGGGAAGTGAGGAATAATTTGAGTGAAAAAAATTTAGAAATACTGTTTTTTTTCTCATGATCAACAATTAGGCAATTTAGATGTTTTGCTATAAAGATCAACTTCACACATAAAAAAATGAAAAATATGACGCCGAAAAAATTTTTGGGCATTTGAAGAATTTGAAAATACTGGGGATTTTTTTCAACGACTACTTCACGTGACTCATTGACCAATCAGAACTGAGGATTAGCGGTCAGGCAGTTTCGAGATGTATCGATATAAAACAACTTCACGTTTCTTTCATCTTTAGTAAATAGGATTCTTCAATGAAATGAAAAAAAATTGATAATAATGACGCGGAGGTGGTCTTCATTTACGAAAAGCTGTGACGTAATTTTCTGTTTACAATACCACGTTCCCAAAATTTAGAGATACGTGTTTGGTCACTGAAAGAGCTTAGACTAGAGATGTCACTGGGTTACATAAATTAAGTAAAAATTAACTGTCGAAGAATTCACAATATGTAATAAATTCTAAAAATTCAATACAAAACAAATCAATTCAAAGGCGCAAAATTGCCTTCAAATGTTCAATTAAAAATAAAATACATCTACTCTTATTTCCACTTGATTCAAGCATTCGCTAATACCATTCTAAAGTTCTCTATCCACCGCGCCTGTGTCTGGTTGCTCGCCACTGCTTCAACCTCTACGATTTATTTGAAACGTTCGATTTAGGCCCCATATCCTCCGTACGCAGTTCGACCCCCCCCCCCCCCCCCC